GTTTGATCTCGTGCTGTTGAATGCTAGTGATTTGTTCGTTGTTCGCCGAGGTTAACAGTGAGGTGGTTTGGTGTAGCTGCTGAAGTGAATCATTTTCAGACGTTCCATGAGAATTTCGACTGGTTCTTGCTTGTTCGAGATTCAACATACATCAATCCGTTTGAACTGAATCGTTTCATCAATAGTGTGAGTGATTATCGTTCGCTAGAAATCATTCATATTTAGTGATCTCTTCAGCCAATTTCCAATAGCAAGAAGTGTGGAATTTCTTTCCCTTGAGTATTTATTTAATTCATTCGCACTTCACATTTTTCCTCAACATTCTAAATTTTTGGAAGAATTTCTGTCTTGGAGGCTTCTCTTTCAATTGAGACGGGTCCTGTAAGAAATTACCTTTACACTAAATTTGTATGTCGTTTCATTGCTAGCAAAGGGAAGACTAGTGGTATGTATTAGCGTGTAGGAACTTTGGAGCTCTCAGTTTTAGAGTCTCAAGAAGAGCCATGCTGTAGAGTCAACCACAAGGTGTTTGCCCCTTATTTCAGCTTTACTTATGAAACGTTTCAGGTAAATTGGAATCAGCCGGTACTGATCGGTTATCCAGCACAAGACGGAAGCGGTAGATGTATGATGGATGCAGGGGTTATACTCAGCAATCCATCAATGCAAAAACTTATCCAGTGAGCGTTTTTCTTGATTATAGTGAAAATTAGCTAATATTGTGAAGCTAAAAAAGTATAAACCGCTGGTTTTATGTTTTTCCTTGTGTTTCCCAAATCTTTCTCCAAAGGCACAGTACGCGTTCAAAAATGATGAGTGATGGAGCCCAGTACAAATGGCAAGGTGATAGGTGGCTCAGTACTGATGAAAAAAATGCTGAAAACTCTGAAATGCCCAAGATAGGACCCCTGCCTTGTTGTTGTCTTGTTGGTATCATAACAATATCAGCTCTGTTACATTATTAGTTCACTATACGCCAGAGCTAGTAGCGGAAAATGAACGAGTGGCAGAACAACAACACCTCGAGTAAGCATTTAGAATGGTGTGGGCAGTGGGCGGGCAGTGCCTTCTTCATTGGCGATGGCGTTTCTTTTCTAAATCGCGAAGGTGATACACTTTTTGTGCCTGCTACTTTGTCCAGTGAAGGCGTCTGCACAGCAGGAAACTGTGGAACATGTCTCTAAATTCTGTTTTGCGGATTCTAAACAATACGCGGTAGTGGAGTGGCGAGGTTATAGGAAGCCAACTGACAGATTCACAACTACAAGATCAAAGAAAACAAAAACATAAACCTAGTGCTGTGTCTGGTAACTGTGGTCGCGTTCTCTTTGACCTTGGTAATAAGTGTACCTTGCACCCCAGAAAATCGGAATGTTCTGATTGGACGGTTGTTGATTTTTCCCGTTACAGAAACGATATATAACCCCCTTTTTGGGTTCGGGCAAACCATTTTTGAAACGACACCATTTTTTTCCACACCTCGAAAATGTACCATCAAGGCACATCGTTGTTGGGGATTCCCCAATAGGGGGGGGGGTCGTATTTGGGCTGAAAAAATTATGAATAGTTGACTTTTCTCGCTTGACGGACGTTGTAAAGGGGAGGCGTATTAACGTTTTGGCGTTGTAGGAGTGGTGGTTGACTTCTGGTGATTTTCCTGTTTCTGCGTTTTATGCGTACCATATGCCCCCCCCCCCTCTCGACCGCAAAATTTTTGGGAAAAAGTAGGGAAGTTTTCGGGAAATTGTGACTAAAATGGAAAAATTGGGAGCGAAATTGGAGAAATCGGTTAGAAGGGGGAGGAAAAAAGACGGGGGGGGTAGTACGGACTCGACTAAAATCCCTGACCAATTGATAGCCCCTGCTGCCACCATGCTCTCGCGAAATTGCAAATTGAAGCTGCAGTTTCTATAGTGCCTTATTTTCAGACAGCGACATGCCTGTAATCTTCTTGCTAGTGGTTCTGATGCCGATCAGCTGGCTTTTGAGAAGTGTCTGCAGCTTGGCCACGAATCTCTCTTGCAGCAGCGAATACCAGGTATGAATTAACTCCGATTTTCTTGCTTTTGTCTTATTTCAAGATTAACCTTTTTTGTATTGGTTTTTAGGGTCAAGTTTACAAGGTGTGGCATGTAGATGGTGCACAGACGGCTCATGATGCTATTGATAAATGGCGAACACACGATAGTTTTAATCAGTCAATAGCAGTAACGAAGTTACTGTCAGATGCTGACGCATCCGCTTTACATGACCATTTTGTGAGCGTGGAGGTTGCTAAGTAAGCGATTTGGTAGTTTTATATTTTCAACTTTCAGAAGGAATAGAAAATGGTAAAATTGCTTGACTGCTATTATGCCTGTTTCTTTGTAGGGTTGATGCTGAGATTGCCTCGATGGAAATGGAACTTAATGAACTTCAAAAGGACACGGATGAAGGTCCAACATGGCCAGCGGCGGTACCTGCGTACAGTAAACCACCTAATCGTTACCAGGTCAGATTTTCCTCGAGTTCTTGGACCCTCTTCAGCTAGGGGGAGGGGGAAGGAACATTTTGCACTTCCGCTGTCTCACATTTTGTCGTGTCCAGCCATCAAGTGGAGATTTGTAAAAACTGTAAAGTTATGACTGATAGCGGTCGAAGTTTATGGAGATCACTTGTCAAATCGTGTGTCAATTCCGTCAACTCTTCTAAAGTAATAATTATGATAATAGGAAGCGGCAAAATGCCTCCCCTCGGCATGGCCGAAATGAACCTATTTTTTTACTTGAAAGGTTTGTCCTCCTGCATCTTTACTGATGCCGCCTGCCCACTAGACGAATTTTGTTCTCGAATACAGTTTTTACCACTGATATCATATCAATAAATAGGAATTATCGTAAAGAAGGACAACTCGCTGGTTTTGCCCTTTGTTGCTCATCTATTTTTCAAAAATACGGGAGGAAGCATGCTTCTAAAGCCTTAAAGGGAGTTGGCACAATGGTCTTCTACTTAGCCTGAACGGAGTGAAACGGTCAAAATCCTGCGAAGAAAAAGCCTCCGTTCTCAGTGACTTGAAAATCGATTTCGGACGAGTTTCCCGTAGGCATCTTACCAATCACCGCTACCGAAGATACGGCTGCATATGTGTACCCATGCAGCATCACGGCCGCTTCATACCAATCCCTTCGCTTCATAATTTGCTTAGCAAATGAATGAATACGAGCGTCAGGAACGGTCGTCCATTTGTGGGCGGGCGGGCGTTTGGGACGTAAAGTTGTGGCTTGATAGGGCCCTTATAAGGGCACCTTCCTCGGGGAAACCGCTATGCAGCGCCTGCCCAGGGTCGCGGAATTCTATCCTGCCAGGAGTATTGATCCTAGTCGTCTTGGGGGATTTATCGTGCCAACTGCCTTTAATGATTCCTGTCAGTTTTCGTGTCTCACCTCAGTGAGCCATGTTAACTCTTGTCAAGTGTGAAAGGAGCTCGCTCTATCACATATTTAGGTGCAAGTGTTCATAGATCTCCGCACGATACGTCCACTCAGATCGGTGGCAACAAGTAGAATCCCTTCTTAGCCGGAATGCGCCTGACTTTTCATAAATGAGTTATCTTATTGTTACCTCATACCTCCATTGCGCTATCCTTAGAATTTTTCCCTCAATATACAGCTGTAGTGGCTATAGTAGACCCCGTTTTTCTGGGTAGTAGAGACTGGAGTAGCATTCTCCTTTTACCAGTTTTTTATCTCACTAGAAGTCACTGAACACTATATCGGCGAGAGGACGTAGATAGGCAGAATTCAGGCAAACATGACATGGCTTGATCTCCAGCGGCCTGAAGCGAGCTGTAGTTCAGGAGGCCCAAA